TTTTAGGGTTAATAAGTATGTTGTGTAGATGTGTGGAACGAAGGTCATTTTGCGCGCACATGCATGCACGTTCGGGCGCATGCAGTGAGTGAAATGACTGATATTCTTCATATAGCCGTAACTTTTACATTTTTTGATGAAATGCTTTGAAACTCATAATATAAGGATATATTAGTAGTGTAGACAAGGCGATATGGTCAGAATAGCATGAACTCACGCGCATGCACGTGCGCTTTGCTCTGATTGGCTGGAACAAAAGTCTCAATATCTTTCTTGTTTTTTGACAAAATACTTTGAAATTTTAAACATAGTCATATATTAGGAGGTTCTACAGCATGATATATAAGAAATCTCATGAAAGCTCGCGCATGCACGTGTTCTGCAATCTGATTGGCTCAAACTTTGAATGTTTATAACATTCTTGGTTCTCAATAAAACAGGATGAAATTTAGAATATGAATAGGTATAATGGATTACTACATTATGCTACTCTCAAAATTAAATGCAAGGACATGCATGTATGTGCGCACGCGCACAATGCGTTAAATGACCAATATACTTGATGTAGCCGAAACTTTTAAACTGTTTGATGAATTGCTTTGAAACTCAAAATATAAGGATATATTAGTAGTGTAGACAAGATGACATGGTCAAATTAGCATGAACTCACGCACATCCACGTGCGCTTCGCTCTGATTGGCTGAAACAAAAGTCTCAATATCGTTCTTGTTTTTTGACAAAATACTTTGAAATTTAAAACATAGTCATACATTAGGAGGTTGTACAATATGATATATAAGAATCATTATGAAAACACGCGCATGCACGTGTTCTGCAATCTGATTGGCTTAAACTTGAAATACCTATAACTTCCTTAGTTCTCAACAAAACAGGATGAAATTTAGAATATGAATAGGTATAACGGATTTCCACATTATGCTACTATCAAAATTGAATGCAAGGACATGCATGTACGTGCGCACGCGCACAATGTGTAAAATGACAAATATACTTGATATAGCCATAACTTTTAAACTTTTTGATGAAATGCTTTGAAACTCAAAAATACAAATATATTAAAAGTGTAGACAAGATGATATGGTCATCATGCCTATGCATGCACGTGCATGCGCGTGTAATGCGTAAAACGACTAATATACTTGATTGCCTTATTTAATGAATCTTACAGGAAATAAGACACCAAAAGGAAGTAGGGGAGCGTTTGGGGAACATCTGTAACGGTCCCTGTTACAATTATAACTAGTTATTATTATTATCATTCTTTTTTTCTACTTTCTTCTCCGGTACTTTTTTGTCCGGGAGTGTTCTCATAGAACCACTCATCCGATTGACATGAAACCTTTTTAGGGTTAATAGGCATGTTGTGTAGGTGTTCGGAACGAAGGTCATTTTGCGCGCACATGCATGCACGTGCGCGCGCGTGCAATGAGTGAAATGACTGATATACTTGATGAAGCCGTAACTTTTATATTTCTTGATGAATTGCTTTGAAACTCTAACCCTAACCCTAACCCTGATACAAAAATCTCAATAATTTCCTTGTTTTTTGACAAAATACTTTGAAATTTAGAATATAAGTATATATTACAAGGTGCTACAACATGTTATATAGGAAATTTCTTGAAAACACGCGCATGCAGGTGTACTGCAATCTGATTGGTTGAAAATTTAAATGTCTATAACTCCCTTGGTTTTCAACAAAACAGGATGAAATTTACCACATGGATAGGCACATAGAGCTCCTACATTATGATACTATCAAAATTGAATGCAAGGCCATGTATGCGCGTATGCTGAATTCTGATTGGCTAATACTTAAAGGGTTACATCTTTCTTATTTTTCAATGAGATTCTTTAATATTTAACACAAATGTATGTATTGTGAGACACTATAAGAAAATTGATGTGAAAAATGTAGAAAACATGTGCAAGCACATGCGCTGAAATTTGATTGGCTAATACCCATATGGCTATATCGGATTAGTTTTCCAATGAAATACCCTTAAAAATAAAGTGTCCATCTGGGGCATCATAAGGGATCGGGGAGCCGTTTGGGGAACATCTGTAACGGTTCCCGTTACAATTAGCACTAGTTTTAATTTAAAATATACAGAATAATATAATTAGAGTGTTTCAAAGAAGTGTAACCTTCCCTATATTGCATCATTAAAAGTGTATATAATCTTAAAAGTGGTCAGCTATTTATTTCCTACTAGCATTATAGTTCTTATTGCCTGCTAAGAAAAAAATTCCATGAATAGTAAAGTGTGTAAGACTTTGATAGAAATACATGAGTATTTAAATTTCAATGTGTATGGTAACTATACATAATCCAGCAAGTACAGTGTCATGAGCTCATAAACATGTATAAATGCTAATTAATTATCGATACCCTACCTCTCAAAACTCAAAAGGCATACATGTATGTTGAATTAAATGTCTGGAGTATTTTTTGCAAAGTAGGTCAAAGATCAAGGACATGTAGAGTTGTAGACTGTTCACATAATGTTGGTATTGACAACAATCAGTGCACATGCTAAATAGCATAGACTTACTTCTTAAATATCAAAAGCCTAACCGGATACATTCAGTATGAACTATTTAAAAAATGTAGTCAAAGGTCACATTCAATGGTCTGAAAGTTTGTAACTATGGTATTTTATAAAAGTCATTGTGCGATGCAAATAATTTGTGCAAAATATCAAATCAAATGTGTGACAGACAGACACCGGGTATAGTGATCCCTAGGTGTCACTCTGCTTTGCAGGCAAGACAAAAATAACAAGGATAATTTATTTGTTTGTTGAAAAGTGATTGAAGGATCCTTAAAAGTAGAAATTTTTGTTCATTAATGTACTGTAATTTTAACCTGTATTTTAAAGGACTTGTTGGACATAACTTATGCACCATGGTTTTTGTGTTCCTTCTTATTGATGTCTTCAGATTTTAAGCCACCAACACTTTACATATGTTTTACATACACAGCATGCATTTATATCTGAAAATGAAAATAAAAATGAACTAGAGGTACTGTGAGCACTGAGCTCACAAAATGATACCCCCTGCCTCCCATGTTATTATAATGTCAAAGTCCATATTTTGCTATGGGAAACCTGAAATATGTGTCCGATTAAAAGTAAAATAGGGGTTGCAAAATGGCACTATGTAACAAAGATTTTGTAAAAGTGTCATCAAATTTTCAGTGGTTTAAGAGGAGATGCTGATAAGAAATGGGTACCCCAAAGTATATATTTTTGGATGGTTGTACAGAAAGATGGACAGGTAGACGGACGGACACCCCGATCATTAAACACCCCCCCCCCCACTTTTCAACCGGGGAGTATAATAATTATAATTAATTTCATTAAAACAAATTAGTACAGAATACACAAGAATAATTAACTGATTCCGTTAATTTAACCTCTTAACTGATTGAGGAAAAAAAAATCAAATTAATTTCACTTTACAACAGAAACTTGTATAGATGTTCATTTAAATTATAAGTACTGTACATATAAATCTTAATGCATATTTTATAATTACCCATACAACAGAGGTTGTTTCAAAATGATGTCATATGAAGTTATCCAATGGGCATTCACAGTACAAGCAGATACTGCGTAACTAGAGTAGACTGGAATAAAAAAAATATAAAAATCATAGTGAAAATTTGGAAGTTAACACCTGCCTTGATCCACCCACCTCCGGGGGGGGGGGGGAGGGGGGGAATAAATTAAGAAATGAAAGTAATATTTTTTTCTTTGACCAAAGTATCAAACAAAAATTTGGACAGAAAACGTCATCAATGCGCGTAGGATGAAAAAGTTTTCCATCCAAATTTTTGTTTGATACTTCTGTCAAAGAAAAAATATTAGGCTACATTCATTTCTTTGATGGAAAAGTCATGGAAAAGTAAATTTACAATTTAAAAGGGTTAATCTAAAATGCGAAATCATGTACGCGTACAATCACTTTCTCATAAAAAAATGTTTATGATCATGATGATTCCTTTTTTTTCAAAGGTGCACTCCTATACGTACCTACATGTACCTACAGTGACTTTGTACAACTTTCTTTTCATCTACGCCTGGATGGACATGCAGAATTTCCTCGTTGTACAAGAACTTTAGGACATGTTCACTGGTAACAGGATTCTCAGATTTGCGCAAAAGTTATCGACTTTATCAGTGTAAAATAAAGTTACAGACCCCAAGCCCGGACTGAGGACTCTCCTTTTTACAGCGTTTCTACTTTCACTTTGGAGACCAATGAAAAAAGCCCTTACAAAGGTTATCGAAATTAAGTCGAATATTACCCACAATGCAATTATTGCATATACATCACAAGATTATAGAACATACATCACAAGATTTTGCATATACATCACAAGATTATTGAACATACATCACAAGATTATCGAATAAACATCACAAGATTTTGAATATACATCACAAGATTTTGCACATACATCACAAGATTATAGAACATACATCACAAGATTTTGAACATACATCACAAGATTTTGAATATACATCACAAGATTATCGAATAAAGCAACGTTTTACACGCCATAACCAAACAACATGTTTTTTTTTTTTTTTTTTTTTAAATTTTGATATTTATATGCTATGCCTTGACATAGATGCAAAATATTATAATTTGTGATTCTTATATTTTGTTAACAAGTTTTTTTGCATTCTTCATGTTGAAGTATTGTAATTTACTACAATGATAATACACTGTACTACCTTCTAAATATATTAAAAAGAAAATTGATACACATTACAAAGGCGTAGGTTAGAGCTTTATGGACTTTGAGCTCGAATACTATTCGTCGTCTCCATATTTCTTCCAAACAATAGATTTTTGTTATGCAATGAGTACAAAAGTAACGTTTCATATTCATAAACTCGTTCTTTTTAATATTTTTTTTTTTTACTGATACCAAAATGTTCTCACTGTAACTTATCCGAATTGGGTTAAAAAAGTTTCCATCCACTGAATGATGAACGATACAAATCATTACTCTCTATTCGTCCAGACACACGGCCAGTTGGATGTGTACGGATATACACGGCATCCCCCTGATTGATCTCTACAGTAACGACGCCTGTTGTATGTCTAATTTGATTTGCACCCTCAGCGCTACAATACAAAGCTCCAACAGCATTCGAATTGACAACAACTTCTGAAAAGAAATATCCATCGACAGAACAATACAACGTCCATGAAAATGTATACACTCCGTCCTCTGGACAAAGGAAATCTCCGGTGTGTCTGTTATACTTTCCACCAACATTTGTAACAACGTTGTCAAAAATAATTGTCTGGTGATGCCCTGGACTGTTCTCATCATGTGACAGGTAAGAGTAAAATGCAACCTCGCCTAAAAATTATATAAAGCATAAACAAAAGATCAAGCACAAAATAATATTAATTGATTATTTTTGTTTCTATACATGTAGATGAATAAACTGATAAAATGTCTTTGTTTTTAATACTTGTTGTATTAAGAAGCATACCTGTAATTGATCTCCTCTTATGTTTATTATTTTTCATGTTAAACAATGTGTTTCGACAACAGTCTATTTCACTAGAAGGTGAATTAGATATCCATGTTTTCAGTTTGGAAATTGCTGAATGCATCCTATGTTTTCCTGTTGTCTTGTTTCCAGCTGTAGCTCTGTTACCAAGAAAAGGGTTCAATCCATTATTTTCACTTTTCTTCATGGAATTCACTGGCATGACGTTTTCCTTTTTTGCGACTTTCTTGAACTTTTCATTTTCCACTTTCAACGTTCTTATTACCCTTTCTTGTTTTGAATTAATTCTTTCCTGTATTTGCAGTCTTTTATCTAAATCACTCAGTCTTCTCAGTAAATCAGAGAGAGAAACATTCTCACTGTCCAAAGTATTGATACTCGCGGCTGAAGACACTAACAATAGAAAAACAACAAAGAAACACATATTCAAATAGTCAGAGACCGGATGTAAAGCATACGAATCGACAGGAGATTAAATACGATTTCTATGTTCTTGACCTGTTACCTTTCTGTCACGTTCTGATAAGAAACTTCAAATAAGATCTAAATAGAAGAACTCAGTTGGTCATGTTCCAATAAGAAACTTAAATAAGGTACGAATTTTGACTTATCATTTAAAATATTGTAGATAAAAATATAAGATATCTGCAAAATTTCGTAATTAAAGCTTTTATAACATTGTTATGGAATGTACAGACAAATCTTTGGATTTCATCGGAATGTTTACTTTATGTACACGTAAACCCATAAGAACAAATATCCCATGTACACTTGTAATAAATTTTATTATCTTTTTCTTATTCAGCAAAATTACTCTACCAGAACATTGTTCCTGACACCAATTCATCAAGAAAAACGACAATAATTTGATTGACTTTTTTTTTTTAGATATATGTTGCCTATATTACCATTTAGAGAATGTTAAATAAAATAGGTATTTGATACACTGGATCATGTATCTCTCTTATTTGTCATTTTTAATCTCAATTAAATTTTTAGGAGCCAAAATTAAAGCATTTTTGTATTTTTTTTAAGGAATTTTAGTTTTTCATTTTTTGTGCACTGCTATTGAACATAATCGAAAACTTTTAAATTTGGAGAGTATATAAAATTTATATGATAGGGAAAATAAAAGGGGGTAAAATGCCTATTTAACTGTATGTTTGATAAAAATACCCCCCCCCCCCCAAAAAAAAATGCAACGTCATTCCTTTGAATTCAAAATTAAAGATACCGAAGCATCTGACACATCTCCTTCATGTGTGGATATTTTACCAGTAAAGACGTAAATGGGAGCGATACAACAAAACTTAATGATAAACGTGATGACTTGACATTTTCTCTCGTCAGCTTTCCTTATATATGAAGCAGTTTACTTTTATCACCCGGAAAAGGATTTAGTGTTTCCAAATTTATTCCATACGCAAGAGCTTACTTGTCGTACGTATTTCTAAAACTAGGCTGGCAATTGACAAAACAAGTTGATTAAACAAAGAAATCGTTAAAGTCAACATTTTTTCAATTTCAATAGTCGATACAATGATCTTGTCAGCAAATACAAACTAAAATTCAATCGATGCTGACTGATTTATTACACACTGACTGCTTCGGATTTTCCGTTCACCCGATCAGGAAAAATAGCAAATTGCGTGTGACACCGGTGAACATGGGACACTTACTCCTCCATTGCACCGAATCCCATCTCTAATGTTTTAAAGTGTTTACTCTGCTCTCGAGTTATATTTTTTTAGTTTGATTTCCGGTACTGTTCGTTATCTCCATTAATATCCATTAAAACAAAGTATAAAGCTCAACAGATAAATATGCATTTTGTCAATGTTAAGCATATTTTTTACAATGATATTTGATACCCTCGTAAAGCCTTAAGGCGATTTATCATGGAATATGAGGAAGCAATGTTGAAAGAGAGTCAAGTGATTAGACATTCTTGCAAGATCAAATGAATTTTGCATAAGGAACTTAACTGTTGGGCAATGCAAGGTTAGCCACGAGAACAATTGAGGCTGAGATAGTTAACATCATGTACGATAAGATTTCATCAAAGTATTGATGATTCTTTATAATTTTTTTGGTTTTCAACAAAATTCATTGCTCTTTATAGTTTATATTATAACCAAAGAACTTCACAAAAAGAAGATTTGAGAAATCCACATCCTAAAGCTTTTAAAACTTGAAAATGTTCTCATAATTAGTACAATTAATAAGAAGAATAAGACACTTTTAATTTTTTTCGCTGTAATACTTCTACTTAAGTTAATATGACAAAGCTTTTCTGGTATCAATACATTTAATTAAAAAAATCCCCTCAAACGTCCTTTTCTGAATTCTATGTAGATGCAATTTTTGAAAAAAAGTTCTTGTTCACTACATTTTGAATAGTAAACGAAGAACTCTGAATTGGATGAGCTTTGTCTACTGGATCACTGTTTATTGTAGTTGAGTTTTTGTCACTCATATCGTCCATAATCTTCAGAGTAAGAAATTATTACTACCTCATTTTCTGCTACGTTTGATCCCTTTGACTTTCCTTTAACAATGTTTTAATGACAATAGCTTGCTTTTTGTTTATGTTTCTTGTAAACTTCACAATGTCTTCATATTAAATTGATTTGCAATTGATTTTGTGACCTCGGTCACAATACCCACAGTAGAAGAGAAGACACCAAATAAAACAAGCATTCTGAAAGTATTGCATTAGCAATACTAGTCCCCTACCGGCAAGTGTAATCTTGTTCTCGTTAAGAATTGAAAATGCCATAATTCCGTCAAAAATCAATGAAGCGGGGCGAAATGCAAACTTGATCTATAACTGATCAAGGTAAAGTCACATACAAAAAATCAGCTCAATATCTGAAAGCATTTAGAAGAAAATTGCGGAAAACCCCTAAAAATTGGAAAGGCCGTAATTCCGTCAAAAATCAATGAAACGGGGCGAAATGCAAACTTGATCTGTAACTCATCAAGATACACTCACATACCAAAAATCAGCTCAATATCTGCAAGCGTTTAGGAAAAAAGTGCGGAAAACAAGTGGGACAGACTGACAGACAGGCAGACGGACTGACAGACAGACGGACGTACAGACTCAGAGGAAACTTATAGTCCCCTCCGGTTTCACCGGTAGGGGACTAATAAGATGAATGTTTAAACACAATTATGTGGTATTTTATTTTTTCACCAAAATAAATCAATTTTTTCTGCGATTTGATTTTAGTTTCCATATTTATATACTATTTTTTTTTTATATAGAAAATTAAACTTAAATTGTTTATTTTCTACCAGAATTAAATGGATCTTATAATTATAGAGCAAGACCGATTCCCATACTATACTCTGAACGTATTTTTCTTAAGCATTTGATCTTTTGAAAGTTTCTTTGTTAAATTTTACCGAATAGTATTTTTCAGTCATTGTTATTTTCACTAACTTGCCAATTTAATTATCGTTCGTTTCTCTAAGTCACAGAAAACAACTACATTTAGTTTTAAGTGTTTTATTATATAAACGTTCGAGTGTACATCTGTAAATCGCACGAATGGAACCCTCAGATTACAATGTATGTTCAAAATTCACTAATCCCAAAATAAATTTGAAACAAAGATTTGATGTGTAACACTGATACCTAAAAAACATGCGTTGACTTTCTGCTAATGATGCCCAACGGCGATTCAAACATCAGGTGTTGGCACCATTTTTTATACAATTGTATTGCTTTTTATTAATTAGCCAGGTAAACACAAACAAAACAAATAAGAAATAAGTCAAAAATCCCGATATTCTCAAATGTTTATTTTTTAGATAGTACTCTTTTAATAACTTGTTTATAAATTAAAAACTAATTCACATTGTTTATGTGACATAAGAATAATAGAATAATTTTATATCATGATCGTTTAATAAATTATTAGGTTTTGCTTGAGGGCGGTAAAAAGTAGCATGGAATTCTTTTTTTCTAGCATTGTATTAGTTTTTTCAATTTAGAAAATATCCAATACAGTACGTTCCTCTGAATATCTTACTGAAATGACAAGTTTGATTTTTATTTGTTTTTTTTTTAATAGTGCTAATGCAAACTTTGAGTACATAATTTGATAGCATTAATTAATTAAATAGACCTAGATATTTTTTTTTCAAACACCAGTATTAAAGTTTAATTAGGCCTAAAGGGATAAAAATTATCTCCTGACATTTAAGTCTAAAATTGTGTAAATTAACAGCCCCTGAAGACATTAAGTATTAACATGTGTAACTATTTCTGCTTATTAAAATTTTGTAAGAAATCCTTTTTTTAACATAAACGCCTCTCTGCTGAAAGTAAAGAAAGCAACAATAGGGAGCCTGTGACGGTACATATTGTCGCCGGCGTCAATATGTACCTACCCTCACTGCACATATTGTCGTTCATCGGTCCATATTGTCGCTGGCGTCAATATGTATCTACCCTCACTGCACATATTGTCGTCCATCGGTCCATATTGTCGCCGGCGTCAATATGTACCGAGACAAGCCTTATTATCCTCCTGCATAATGGACGACAAAATGTACAGTCAAGCAGCAGTACATATTGTCGTCGGCGACAATATGTACAGTCAAGGTCGGCATATATTGTCGTCGATATAACGTTCAAGTGAGCTTTCCTGATCACATTTTGTCTGACTGTCCCTCTGTCTGTAAACTTTTCACAATTTCATCTTCTTCTCAAAACTAATTGGTCAATTTCAAGCAAACTTGCCACAAAGAGTCCGGTGATAAAGGGGATTCAAGTTTGTTCAAATGAAGGGACATGCTCTCTTTCAAGGAAAGAAGTTAAGAGTTAGTGAAAATTTAATGGCATCTTTAAAAAATCTTCTCAAGAACCACTGTGTCAGAAAAGTTGAAACTTATGTGAAAGCTTTATTATGAAGTGTAGATTCAGTTTTATTCAGATCATCTCCCTTGGAGGCCGGAAGGGTGTGGCTACAATAGGTGATCAAAGTTTTTCATAGAATATTTAGAAAAAAAATCTGTCAATTTCTTTTTTCAAGAAATACTAGGTCAGATGAAATGATACTTATGTGAAAGCTTCGTTACATAGCGTTTAATTTTGAGGTGCTGGCACGAAAATGGTCTCTCACTGCTCAATGACCCTAAGTGCCCAGTATAGGTCTAAATTTGCAGCTTTCAACCGGGAAGTGCATGCTG